GCAGGGGAAGAGTGTGAGGAGGAAGGAGTGGCAGAGACAACGTGTGATGAACTGACTGCAACCCCCATTCCCTATCCCCCCTGCACCACTCAGGGGGAGGAGGTAGAGAAATCGGGAGTGAAGTTGAGCCTGGGAAGAAGGGAGGGGTGGGGAGAAGGTGTTTTGAGATTTGGTTTTATTTCTCATTACTCTACTTTGATTTTTATTGGCAATAAATTAAATTAATTTCTCCAAGTCGAGTCTGTTTTTTGCCTGTGACCATAATTGCTGAGTGATCTCCCTGTCCTTATCTCAACCCATGAGCCTTTTGTTATATTTTCTCTCCCCTGTCCAGTTGAGGAAGGGCAGTGATAGAGCAGCTTGGTGGGCACCTCGCAGCCAGCCAAGGTCAACACACCACAAATGCTCTCTGGTCCAAAACTTGTTTGAAAACTGAGAACAATAAAACCAAATGCAGATTTTGTGCAGCATGACATACAGGAACTGTGTCACTGTGCTCTAACACCGCCTTCCACTATAAATTGGGCCTGCCAAGAAGAGTCTCATTCACACATGTATTTTAGCTTTGGGTTGTTAATGGATATTGATATTGAAACTGTGCAAGTTTTAGGGAGCCAGATGAATGTAAAAAGGCTGATGGCCATGTGATTAGCAATCTGGAAGAGTTTGATCCACAGGCATTTGTGGCAAACTTAGCAATCATATACACGGCATTATATGGAAAGAGAAGGAAACATGAAGGACTGGAAAGAAAGGGAGAAAGGGAGGAAAAAAAACCCAAAAAAACCCAGTGAGATGTCACCTTGGCCAGAGCTATATTAGGACCTGAAGGTAAAGACAAATTTACACTTGATGCTGATCAATCACTGCTAATAAAGAGCATCTAAATTCATGGGAAAATAAATAGATTCTACAAATGCTCAATAAATTCCTTTTGGAGAGGTGAGATGTACATAAAATGATCAAGAGACGCATGTTGTACTTGGATTCAGATGAGCACCATGTTATTTTGTTACATATCTTCTGAAATCAGTAGGTCCAGTTCTACTCTGATTAGCAAGCAAAGTTTTATCACTTGTGTATATGAATCCACAACAAGTAGTATGATAACAAGAAGGCAGCGAACAAAAAATGCAAAAGTGGCAAAGTTATGAGCTACACTAGCATGGAATGAGCAAGGGCCTGGTTACATGTATTTGTCACAGAAAAAGAAACAGCAACACACACAGAGATTAGAATCTTAAAATGAAACCTGTGAGCGAGTCCTCTGGTGCAAACAAAGCAAGAACTTTGTGTGTCTGCTCTCCACCATAAAGAGGAACGAAGCCCACAGTTGACAAGCTAATAGGAATCTGAAACAAGAATGTACAATACTTCAATACGCTCTTGCTAATACAATATTAGTAAAATATACAGAGAATGTTTAGCAGGGTAAGAAAGACGAATGTTGAAAACCGAGTGCTTAACAGTTAACTGTAAAAGACAAGTATCAGACCTTGGCCCTTACTTTAGATGTTTTCTTCCTAAAGACAGACTACATTATAAAGAGCTCTGACTCTCAAGCTCTGGCAGATTTAGCTACAGCAATTTATACTGTTACAGCTCTCTGCTGTCAGCAGTTTGCATTTATGTGCACAACTGAAGTAAGGTGTGCAAAGAGCCAGCAGTATGATCACTTCAACTGCCACAGCTACACAAGCTGTCAAAGCTGACAGAAGAATGAGGCAGGCAGTCAGGCACAGAAACAAACTGGCACAGCAAAATTGCTGTTTGTTAACATGAGCCCTAACATGCCAAGCTGGGAAGGTTGGATTCAAAAGGGTTTTCTTCCCTTAAATTGCACACGTTTTAGAAATTCCAAATTTGTCTGCTTGACTTTCCCTCAGGAATGACGTGAGAAGGGTCAAATCAATTCACCTTTCAGAAGTTGAGGACCTTTGTGAAAATGCATTTTGATATTTAAATTTGCACGTTTTCAATATTTAATTAATGCATAAAAACTAGACAGGCATTAATGGTGTGGTAAATAGACTTGCTTACCCAATTTAAGGTTATGATATGCTATGCCACAAACAATGATGTTAATACAGACAAATATTTAGGTATACAGCACCTGCAGAAATGCAGGAAAGTACTCAAGACTCTGCTCCTGCCAAGGAATCTGCAGCACTGACCTTTTGTTCCCACAGAGAATCCTCTCAGCTCACTTATTTTTCATTAAAGTTACACACCATTGCTTTTATTGGTATTAGTTCTATTAGAAATGCTCATCTAGACAAAACCAACATTGACTAACTTATCATTCAAGGGATAAGTGTTTAAAACGTGAAGTGTCACAGCCAGCCTCTACTAGAACTCCCAACAACAGGGAATATTTCAGATAAGAAGAAAAGAATCACTTCTAAAATTAGTGAAACTTGCTGATCAAGAATTGAAACCAACCATGAAGATCACTGAAGGACTGAGATGCAAAGAGAGCCAGTTAGCTTCAGTAAATCATGAACCCCTTAGTTATGATGATAGATTTTTGTGACTATGTGAGTTAGTGTTTTTAGGAAAGAGTTTGACTCATCAGTTGAGATTTTAAGGGTTTTTTGTTGTTTTGTTTTTTTTTTTAATTACTTAATGCATACAGATCCATTGCCTAGAAGCAGCAAATAGTCACTGATGCCCAAATTTAAACCCAATTACAGAATAAAAAAAAAGTAGAGCTTAACACACAAATAGGAATTTGGAAAATATAAAAGCTTTGCTAAAATAATGATGTAATTCAATAGTTATGGACTGGATATTTTAAATATTTTAAATCTACAAGTATATCAAGAAAACTGGGACTAAGGTATTTGCTGGTTCTTACTTTGCCGTGGTCTGGCAGGGACAAGAATTCAGGACAATTTGGATCCCCACACCGAAGGTCAGACAAGTAGTCTTCTGCAGAGCTCTCCAAGTCCTCATGACTGTTCAACATATCCACAGGGAATGCCATCATCTTGAGAAATAACCAACATTATTACTGCAGGTAGTTTGAGAGATATGATGCACAGTTTATTACATATTCCTACTAAACATGTAACTAAGACTGTTGAACACCCCCTTCTGCTGCTCTCTAGAGCCCTCTATGTCCAAGCCAGAAAGGAGAAATGCTCCAGGCATTTGATTAGGATGGTGCCTATTAATGTCCAGTCTGTAAAATGATACACAAACCCAATCTGTGTTTATAAGCAGAAAAGGAAGGGTTTAGCCCATAGATCCCCCTAGACCCAAACGTGGCAGATTTCCAACTCACAACCCCTCTGTTTGCAGCACATTTACAATAGACCACATGCTGCCTTGAGGTGACAGGCTGTTATCTCCCTCCCAGCTGATGTTTTTAAAGCCACAGATTAAGCAAATAAAAAGTAAACAGCCCAAAAGATAACAACAGGAAGGAGGAGTTCATTTATTTTGGAGACTTTGCATTGAAATCCATCTCTGAAGAAACAGAAGCGTTGTTCATAACTTCTCTCTACAACTGGCCAGTTAGTGTGCCTACCAGTTGGTTGTTTCCAAAAGCATTTCAACTGTGAACAGGAGATGCTACAAGCTCATTAAAAACAAGAGCCCACAACAGACTAAAGAGACACTTTAAGGAGGTGACAAGACAAAAACTAAAGCATTGAAGACCAACCATAGTGGCAATAGCTCCTTGAAAGCTCTTTGATTCAAATTCTCCTTGTCAGAGCAGTGAAGTTAAGATGAACAAGAGCTCCTGGAATCCACTGAGTGCTCTTCAGTTAAGGCTCTTCCAGGTCTATAGAACTATACACAGATACAGACCCCTCAGCCCCTTTCAAGCTACAGCCCAAACTCTCATAAGCACGAGCTACCACAAGTTCATGAGTTCAATCTGTTCTGGAGGAACACTGGGATCTCTTTAGATTGGAAAAGTCCCATTCTGATCTACAGCAGAGCATAAGAGAGTAGTCTAACAGTTCAAAATGCAAGCATCTTCATTTTGAAAGGCAAAGCAACCTAGCAAAGACAAATCAAATGGCTGCCAACAGTAATAAATTAATGCATTATCCTCATAAAAAACACAACCAGTTTGTCAGTGTCTTTAAAAAATTAAAAATACAGATGGGTCCACATCTAGACAGTCTCTTGAGTAATGCCATGAGAGAGAAAGAAAAAAAGACGTAAAGAGAAAATAGCTTTTCAGTTTTCCTTGACAAGAGCATTACACATTTTTCTCCACAGAGGCAGCAGGAACAGTACAGGTCTCTGCCATGCAGTCTGTCATGCCCCTTTTTTGTTGCTCTAAGCCTCCACGTGTTCCACAACCGTAAAACTGTCAGGTCAAATCCTTGTCACACACTGCAGGATCGTGCTCTGCTCATGGGGTACCACTCCAATTGGTTAGCTAACAGTCAGGCTGAATGAGCACACATAATGTAGCCTTAAGCAACCAAGCTCATCATGACCATTTGCACAAAAACATATTAGAAGTGTGTGTGTGTTTGGAGGGAGGGAAATTAAATTTATTTTGTTTTTTTAAAGAGGCAAATTATGCTTTTCATGTTTTAACTGAAAGAAAATAAATCTTACACTCTTCATAACCATATCATTTCACATAACAGGATTAAAGATTGTATGTAATAAACTCACATGAGCAACAGTTGCTTTAATGTGGAATTGTATCACTTTCCCCCTTCTCAACATTATGCAAGCTACTATGTGAGAAATGGCACATCCTTTTTTTAGGAACAGCTGCAGCACCAGAGGATAACAGAGATCAATTCAAGTAACACTAACAAAACCCACATTTAACAGGATGAGTGAACACATTCCTATGCAACTGAGGCAGCTCCTTATTCACAAAATCTTCATTACCGTAAGCATTAAGATAGAAAAAAATAATTTTTCTTAAACAGAGAATAAATGGGCAATGTTGGAAATTGATTTAATTATAAATTATAGCTGCAACCCTTATTTCATCTTAGAAGTGCACGAAGGAGAGATGCACAGTCCATGCAGCTTCCAGGCCACGCAAGGATTTCGGCAGGCTCTTAGAATCGAGAGATCAGGTCGTCCCCCTGCAGACCTTCAATACTGAGTACCACGAAATAACAGAAAGATAAGAAGCCAAAAGCTATATTGTTTCTTACAGCATGTCACAGGGCTTAAACACAGCTTGGGGTGCCTTTACCTTAGGGGAACTGAAGCCTAAGTGGTTAGGCTGCCAGCCAAGGATTTAGAGGCACCAGGATGAGTTGCCAGCTCTAGCACAGACTGTTGAGGAAATTACACCATCTGCCAGGAATTATGCCACTGTCAACACCCTCGGCACATGTTGAAGGAATTACAGCACCTGCAGGAATTATGCCACCATCAACAGGGCTCAGCCCTAGGTTCCTGCTTGAAGATGACTTGCCAATCCGCTGAGTAAATAAGTGGTTTATTTATCCAACATGCAGAGCAGCTCGAGCTGGGTGCCTCCAGGGAGGGACCCCAAACAAAGAAATCCCTGGGCAATTTTTCCCTTACAATCTAAGTTTCACACCCCTCACACGACAGTTCGGACCAATAGTAATATTAGGGTCTGGGGTCTTCCCATTCTTCATTGGGTCCCTTCATTGTCTCTAGGCAGGCCGTTTCTTCTCTTATCTCTAAGGTTGCTGTGTCAGCCAATGATTGTAGCAGCCTTCCTTGGTTCCTTATCTTCCAGCTCGAACCAGCTCTGGGGCCTTCTTTTACTTAACTAGGTAAAAGATCAGCATATCTGGATGAAAGTTCACAGCTTGCAGCCTAAGGTTTCAGCAAATTTAGCTAATAATGCTAAGCAAGTTATGTTAAGCAAGTTCTATATAAGTAGTATACTAAATCGCACAACACAGACATGTTACTTGACCTGCTTGAACTCCTCATCCATAAAATGGGAATAATCATTACCTCAGAGAGACCAGTATGAGAAATACTTTACTGAGATCATGAAATATTCAAACACAAATTGTATCAAAACTTTACAAGTACTGGAAGTAGACGATTCTTTACACAGCATGACTTATTGCCACAGCTCATTTTTCTTTAAAAAAAAAAAAAAATCACAAACAATCCACCAAGGACCTTTCAACATAACTGGCACAGATAAACATGCATGGTATAACAAATATGTGCAAAACTAAATCAACAGCTACATAGCAGGTGATCAATCTCCAGATTTAAATTTGTGTTTAAAAATAAATAAAAAAAAATTTAAGTAGTTTTCATTAAAATTTGAAGTTATGAGAACAGACACCAGGGTGCTCAAGCTATGACCTGTAGAATGTTTCTGCTAAACCAGGACAATTAATCCAGCCCCAGCCTTCAGGACATGCACAACAGGTCCAGTCCTGTGATGAAGTACTGGCCTACTCTGACAAAAAGTAAACCGTAATAGTGCCTGACCTAAGGTTTAATCTATTTAAACAAGTGCTGAAGTACTGGATCACAGAACTCCTCAAGGACTGCCATGCACTTCTTAAGAATCATCATGCACCTTGAACCAAGTTCTATCTTAAAATTACAATCCTACCATAATCTCCCAGACTACCTACACTTGGGGTAGCATTGTAAGAAGAGACTTAAATTACAAATTAAGTATATATCTCCATATATACCCTAGCTGCTGATGTTACAGAGAAAACCAAGCCATAGGACTATGGAAGTCACAAGCTATGCTCCAGAAACAGATCTGACAATGCACCAAACCAGCAATCATCTTCTCAATCAGAGCAGCAGGAACATCATTTCTGTTTTGCTCTGTTAGTTTCCCACCTTGCAACATCCAATTGCTGGTTTGGTGAAAGCTATGAAACCACATAAAAGTTGAAAAAAAAAATGTTTTTTAAAGTAGTATTTTTACCTTTCTAGCTTCAACTAAGCTTCAACATGACATCTGCCACTTCTAAAATTGTGAAAATTGTGAAGTTCTACTAACAATAATTCTATTAACAGCTAACTAACTTACATAAATGTTTCTTTGCTTAGACTACCAGCTGTCATATACACAAAACATTTTCATCACTTTTGTTTCTTCTTTATTCAACATCAAATACTTCAAATGGGAGGGTGGGGTGTGTGTTTTTAGATGTATTGTGCATTTGAACTTTTTTCTTGTTTCTATCCAAATACAGCCTGAAGCAAATAAGTAAAAAAGTTATCCTTTTCTAATATAAAAATAAGTAAATTTTAAACTTATGCTAAGATAATTAATCATTTAAATACTTATAGAGAGTACCTATCTGGTTTATTATGAGTCTTGTAGTTTGAAATACATAGAGAAAACCTGTCCCATAATTAACAATTTAAATCACTATTGTAAAAAAAACTTTTATGTTTTATAAATATCCCCATCTCTTTTAAAACTATTTATTTTGAATTTGTAATATAATGTATGTAGACTGAGGGAAGAGGAAGACATTTTAGAAAAGGGAAGTTGTTTTTTAAACAACAGAGTATATATTAGGATTTCTTGAAAACCGTACATGCTTTAAGAAGCAACAATAATACAGTATTTGATCTGCCATATTTAATAGACAACTCAAACCCTCCCCACTCAAATAACTACATATTTAAGGGTAGGTTTTCTTGAGGTTTAATTCAAAAAGCTTGCTTTTGTATATTCTTAAGTAGGCTTCAAACCATTATCTGCACCATACCACTGATATAAATATTATTTCCTGCAGTGTGGCTTTTGTTCACATTTTTAGAGAATATAGACGCATCAATCTTAAATACAAGTTCTTGCCAACTCGGATAAATTTGCTCTGGTTTAGGGTTTTGGTATTTCCTAAAAGGAAAAAAGCCTTTTTTTTTTTTTAATAGAAATATAAACCCCCAAATAACATCTACTCATACCCTAGAAAATCCCAAATAGAAAGTTCTTAAGGAAACCAGGACAGTGATCTAGAAATTGTTGTCAATGCCCACCAAGAGTTCTGGATTAATATGCCAACCACATTATCCATA